GTTGCTATTACTGCTGAAACTGGAGCTGAGACAGGGTCAGATAACCTCAAGCTTCAAATACAGAAGCCTCAAGCAGAGGAAGAGTTTAAAAATAGATTCCAAAGGGCAAAATACATATTGTATAGAGTCTGGATATTTTAGCTTTTAGAGGAAAGTATTGGCTCTTAGATTGAAAAACTAACCACCAATGAGCAACAGTGTCCTTCACCTTAACCTGCCAATCATTTTTCAAACCATGGGGTCAATAATTTTCCACTATTATTAACCTGAACTACAGTCAACATACAGCATATAACATACAAACCATTGAGAGTATAACGGTAAAACTGAACAGTTATTTATTTTTTACCCTATTTAAGAATTAACATGGTTAACCTTCTGGATCCTGATCCAAAGCCCCTCTCAGTCAATAGGAGCCTTTCCCTGGGCTTCAAAGACTTTGTATTAGACTCTTAATGAACATTTCCTACAGAAAGCACAAGTTACTGTTACTCACAAGTGACAGCCAGGACATAACTTTTCAATTAATCAAAGATATTCAGAGCTATAAAATCCTCCTCTTCAAGCAGCGTAATAAGAAAAAAATTAGAGTTTAGTTTCATGGACCAGCCTTTGATTCTTTCTGCTCAAAAAGAGATGAACAGAGCAAATGTCTACCATCACTTACTTTCCCATCCTGACAGGCTTTATTTATTCATTAGTCGACCTTTCTAGCCATTAGGACCATCCTGCTTCAGCAGTTAATTAACACAAGTGCCATAATTTAATACAGTTAATGCTACTTGATGCCCTTTAATGTACCTTCCATTAGTGATATTATTGTAGTATTACCCTGTAAATTAAAATGAGATCAAGACTATGAGAGGCTTTCTTTAATTAAGGTACTGGCACACTACACTCGTCCATTATTCACCAGAGAAAATCACCCTGATTTAGTGAAGCAGACCATCCATAAGTCAGAATTAGTTCATGAGGATTATTAGGTTTCTTGAATAATGTGCATGCAATGGGGTTGCTGAAATTGCTAACAGCCATGTTTCCTCTTTTTTCATTATCTTAACAAACACACAATGAAAGCTGAATAAACAAGTGGTAATAGAAAAACTAAAGGGTTTATCATCTCTAATACAATAAACATCAAGCTCATTTCACAACAAAATGCAACGGAATGAGAAAACAAATTATATATTAAATGGGCACATTTCCTAGCTTGAATATATTGTGAGGTATTAAAAAGCTGCATATTTAATACAGCAGCTTTCAGACAAATACTTTTCACAGACATTGATCCGTAAAATTCAACAGGAAACAACTTACATAGAAAATCAGCTTCCTTTAAAAATATGCTGTTAAGATGACCGGTTATTTTAACCATCCTCAACCTAGAGATGAATGTTACAGCATAAGCTACAGCATTAAAAAGAGTCTATTAGCATCACTCATCCACAGCATGTCAAGTTACTCAGTAACCTCTCTTTGCATGTTATCCTCATGGAATAGTCCAGACGAGCTCTTCAATATCCAGAAAAAATTCTAAGCCCAGAATATCAAACATCATGGCTAAACTTTAAGGTCAGTTGACTTCTTGGGTTCAGCTACTATTGGTGGACAATCCACCTGGATTGGATACATAGTGGAGTAACGCTTGGGGTCCCGAGTTGCCCAGTAAGGCCAGCGGTCAGGTAAGAGACAAGGCAACTGGGAGTACTGCTGAGTCACAGAATCTTCAGGGCAGCCTCTGTCAGTGGTCTCCTGCAGAGCACCGGTGATGTTTAAAACTGTCTTTCCCTGATGGAGGATGGCAGTGATACTACAGTAGGGTTGCCAACCCTCCAAAATACTTCTAGAGCCGTCGTGGGCAACCTGGGGCCCGTCAGGGTAATCTGCTGGTGGGCCATTAGACAGTTTGTTTACATTGACCATCTGCAGGCACGGCCACCTGACTGCAGCTCCCTGTGGCTGTGGTTCGCTGTTCTCGGCCAATGGGAGCTGTGGGAAGCAGCAGTCAGTACGTCCCTGCAGCCTGCGCTGCTTCCCGCAGCTCCCATTGGCTGGGAACAGCGAACCATGGCCACTGGGAGCAGCGGGCAGCCATGCCTGCGGATGGTCAATGTAAACAAACTGTCTTGCGGGGTGCATGAGGCCTGCAGGTTGCCCACCACTGTCCTGGAGTCTCCAGGAATTAAAGATTAATCTTTAATTAAAGATTATGTCATGATGAAACCTCCAGGAATACATCCAAGCAAAGTTGGCAACCCTACACTACAGTCTGCTCTTCCTTGGAGTGGCCAAAGGTTCACAAGGTACTGAGAGCACCCTGACATGTGCATGGGGATGGATCAAGCCCTAATTTTTTTATTTATTAATTTATGTATGAACATACTTTGGGGAAAAAATAGCGCAGCAAGAGGTGTTTTTTTCATCATCAGCAGAATGATAAAGGCACTCAAATGAATTTAATCTACTAGGATAGGATTACATAGCAGATAACCCCTGTAGCTGGTGTCTGATTATTGTAGTTTAGCCAACAAGCATCACCATCAGATAAGTTCTCTGTACAGTCACACTTAATTTTTATAGACAATTTGCTATGGGATTACTGTTTCCTTTAGCTGAGTTTTGGAAGGTGTCTGTTTGTGATTCCCTTAAAACATTCTCTTTCTCCTTCAGACTGTTTATGCGATGTGACACTGATAGTCTAATTAGAGACAGACTGCTTGCCAAAGTTCAGGGGTTTCCAATGTGGACCTGCACCTTCTTGAAGTATGGTGTTTTTTGAACCCTGGGTTTTGTTCTGGTCCATCTCTACATCTAGTCTACTTGAGCGTGAGGAAATGACAGAAGAAAGGATACAGGAGAACTGAACTATATGCTGTAATTCTGATAAATTGATTACTACAGTGGTCATCCAAACCACTATTATAAGCTTCCCATGTTCCACTAAGCTTATTACATGAACAATATTAGTCTATAAGCAATATTACATATATGTATTACATTAAAATTCTTAATGCAAAAGCAATGATCCAATGTTTTTGTATTTTTAATTAATCATCCTGTATGTGTATTTCGCATGGGGCACAAATAATTGTAACTGTAGCAAATGAACTGTGCAATGAAACTCATTTAGATTTGCATTGTTCGTGCTCATTAAAAATATATTTTCATTGAGAAAATGCACTGATAAATCCAGAGCCATGTAAACAGCACTGATTTTCTGCCTTATATATTTAACTGACTATTAAAAATATAAGCAAAAATTAATACTAATTTGTATTCATTTAATTCTGCCAGGAATTTTTTGCAACATATAAAATTGATTTCCTTGCATGTATGAAAATGCTTAGAGACATGCAATGTCTTCCATATAAAAGAGACTAAAAATACCCACTTAAATAATCCACTAAACAGCAGTAACAAGCACACAGTCAATAGCATGCTATATAATCTCCTTGTCTACTGCATTAATGTCAATTATCTTTTGCTTACTACAGAATGTACATGCTATTCTTTATCCTTCCAGTAAGTTAAGTGGATTTTTGTTTGTATGCAATCAAATATTATTGATATTGCATCAGTCCTCAATAAAATTTGAAAATAAAGTTGTTTAAAAAAGATGTTTGGGACTCTTTAGTTTAAAGAGGATATGGATAAGAGGTACAAGGTGCATGAAAGAGGTAAGTAAACTAATAAAATATATGGAAGAGGTCCTATTTACCTCATCTGATAATACAAGTACAAAGGGACAGCTAACATATTTAAAGATAACACACATAAAATTGCTAAAAGGAAATACTCTTTTTACATAACGGGAAATAAATCTGTGAAACTCGCTACCACAAAATATAATAAGGTCAAGAACTTAGTGGGATTCAGAAAAAAGTTTAGACAGTCATGGGGGAAAAAGGTATCTCCAACAACTACTGTCCTGTAGCAATGATTAACGTTTTCAGAGGATATCAGTCCTCATGCTTCAGGTAATAAACTAATCACTAGCTTCCTGGTATTAGGAGGACACTTTCTGCGTAGGCACGTTTTGCACAAATGTCTATTATGAGACATTTATACCTGGTACTAGCCATTGCTAGACACAGGATGGCCACCTGTCTAAAGCAGCAGTTCTCAAACTTCATTGCACCGTGACCCCCTTCTGACAACAAAAATTACTATATGACCCCGGGGGGGGGAAGGGAAAAGGGGGGGGAGAAGATGACCAAAGCCCAAGCTCTGCTACCCCAGGTAGGTTGGGGAGGAGCCAAAGCTGAAGCCCAAGAGTTTCTGCCCTGGGCAGGGAGAATATAACCTTAGCCCTGGGCTGTGGGATTCAGGCTTTGGCTTCAGCCCCAGGCAGTGGGGCTTGGGCTTGGGCCCTGGACCCCAGCAAGTCTAACACGAGCCTTGGCGACTCCATTAAAATGACCCCCTGGTCTAAAGCAATGTGGCAATGTCTATGTTCCTATCCAAATTAGCCTAGTGTTATTCAAACCATTGGTTTATTTTTTACACTCAAACAGAACTATACCCTGCAGAAAGGGTGAAATTCACCCCACTGCAGAGGTCTCATCCAAGGCCCTTCAGACCAATTACACCTTACAGTAAGGGCTTATATTAAAGCCCAGTGAATTCAATGGCTTTAGGCCATAAAGGCGTAAAGGTAGCCTGGCCTGGAGAGCCCTGTGGAGTGTCCCTTCAGCTGGGATGAATTTCACCCTCAGACATAAAAGCTTGGACATCCCAGACCTAGTGTAAGAAGCTGTTAAAAGTATTCCACTCTTAAGATGTACAGAGAGTTGTCAAGTTTAGTGACAGCAGGACTTTGATGACTTAGTACTGCTGACTCAAAAAAGCATCTAATACTTTAAGAAACTGTTTTTTTATTGAGCTACATTTCTGGGAAAACATTTCAGTAGAAATTGCTGACATTTTGAGGGGGGACATTTTGTGGGCATCCTTTAAGGACAGACGTATTTACTCATTCTTAAAGACTCATATTCTCTTACCTTCCATATACCCTTATGTCTGAGATTGCATAAAAGTAGCGTGCCAAGTGCTGCTCATCTACATATATTTCCCCAGTTGCTGGTCTGAGCAATCTTATCCTCAGGTCTGTGATGGTAAAGAAATCTCTCAGCTTCTTGGTTGTGTCAAGCTGGCCATACAGGGAAGCCATATTATGAAGCCGAGGTCCAGCAAAAAATGCAAATCGATCTTTGATCTCGAAGTGGATGATTTTACTATTTGTCATGTACCCAGTGGAGTATTCTTCTGTGCAAATGATTTCTAGGACTGTGTGCTGTGATAAATCCTTCACTGATTTTGGATCCATATGGAAAGCGTCTAAGCAGTCTGTGGCATAATACTGGTATGGCTGCCATGTTCGCCCATAGTCAAGTGATTTCTCCAGGATCATTTGGTCTGGACGGCCAGATTCAAAGGTGATAACTATGTTATCTGTTAGTTCAATGGTTTTGTTCCAGGAGAGGGTAATGTTAACCTGGAGAGGTTTTGGATAATCTTTCCACGTTGTAGATTGCCAAAATGTGGAGGGATGTCTTCCTTCAAGATCAAACATCAGTTCAGGTGGATGTGCCAGTTCATTGGTACTGGCATCACATTCATTGTTGCACATGTAGGGATTCCCCTATGAAAGAAGAACAAAACAGTTTTACAAGCAGTATTACATGAATGCCTACAGTACATAAAGACATTCTTTGCTTGACAAATTAGAATTGCCTTTCTATTGTTTCTATTGTCTAAGAAAGAAAATAAATGTTTGTTAAAAATATCTTTGTTTATCTTAACTAGATTTCTCCTCATTGCTTTATTTATTAAATTACGCATGTGTTGGGCCAGTAATCTAGTCACAAAAGCACAAGAACAATGAGCAAATGTCTAAAGGCTCAATAACTCTGATTCTTCAAAGATGTAGCAGCGAAGCAAGGAGAATTTCTTTTTAACACAAGTACATTCCTCAAGGGCACAGTTCATAAAAAAGTCACTTTTAGGAGAAGTGCTTTAGAATCAGCAATACGTTCTCTATGTGTGCAATATGAAACCATACCCACTACAGCTTTCATGCTTCCTTTTCTCCTGGCCTCAAATTTATCATACTTAACTGTGTTCCTGTTTAGTAATGTCTGGCCTTAAAATGTTTACACTGTTCACTACAAATCATTAGAAACACAGTGCACTCTGGGTTTTGGTCCAGACACCTACCACCCTATTAGCTATAGGCTAGTGAAGTACTTCAGGAAAGACTTTTTACCAGACATGGGCTCCAATTTATCAGGATAAAATAATCCACCACTTGATTAGGTAGGAGAGTCAGCAGGTCCAGCTGGAAGGCTGCTTAGGTGGCTGGAGGTTTGAACTGTGTGTCGAGTTTAAAAAAAAACAACACCACATAAACTTACCAATAATGTGTAACTTTTACTACTACTTGTCCTCTGTAACAAGGTGAAAGTGAATTATTCTGCTCTGGGCCTTTTGATGCATTAACTTGCACACTACAATCGTCTTCCTCCTCACAAAAGCTACTTCATCTGGAGGCTGGGGATAACTTGATAAACCATTGCAAGCTATTGGCTACTTTAAGCTGTACTGGATCATGTCTACCTAATCTAGAAGCTTTCATCAGTACATTAATATTTGGCTACTTAATAATTTCTTATTTGTTTCAGAAAACAATTACTGCTCTGTATTTTTTAGAGTTAAATTGCAGCAGCTGGAGGTCTATATGGTCCCATCTATGCATAAGGGTTCCTCTTCCTCACATTAACAGGAGTTTGACTCACATATTGATGGGAGAATAGACCCTTATGTAATTAATTTTCCTTTTTTCCCTTATCGTTGCAATTATGTTTCTTTCCATCTCAAGACCTTAGGGATCTGAAGCTTTGCAATCACACCCACTGAATGAGCTGGGTCTCAAATAATGAGTTTCCACCTTGGTCACTGCCACAGTCCCTGACATACTCAAGTTAAAGGCAAGAAAAGGGTCTTAAGCACTTGCTCTGACCTCTCTAGAGGCAACTTTCTCCTACCTACTCAGAGAAATACTCTCACTCTTTCCCATTAATGTAGCTGAATATCATAACCGACAATAATTCATAGAGACTCAAATATAATGCAAAAGAAGAAAATGGGTTATTTGAAAAACAGAACACTGCTTATTAGATTGACAGACTCTAAACACGCAGCTGTAATTTCAGAAGATCCTTGTTACAGTTTTCCTGCTTTCAAGCTCAGGATCACTATTTCTATGCATCATAGAATCATAGGTTAGAAGGGACCAAATAAAGCAAAGAGGGAAAAATAACAATACTTTCTAAGCAGGATGGATAAACCACTAAGTTTTTTATAAATTAAACTCAGTTTAAAAACATACCCAGAGACACAAATGCAAAGATCTGCAACCTTGCTTGGGCTTTTTTCAGGGAGCCTATAAATACTGTGGAATCTGTTAGGAGTTATACATTTTAAATATATGTAAATGTGCACTTTACAGAAAGAGGTCAGCATTATCACTGGAAATTTACTTGAACAATATGGTCACTTCAGAGTCTGTCCACATTAAGCTATCAGTAGAGCCATGAACATGCATACTACAATCTCCTTTCTGGCAAAAGCTACTTCATCTAGAGTTCAGGAATATCAAACAGAGAAAATCAAAGCTACTGGATAGCAAGGCACAGACATTTATATTAAGCAGAACAGAAAAATGGCTTTGGTCTTCTACAGCACAGTCGGCAAGCACACATGTGGGTCTGTTGTCATTTTTATGTTAAAAACTATCCACTGGTCCCAGGATATCAGCAGACACAATGTTTCATGAACCAGAACGGATAAAGGAAGGCTATTTACCTTACAAAAAGAAAAGGAGTACTTGTAGCACCTTAGAGACTAACCAATTTATTTGAGCATGAGCTTTCGTGAGCTACAGCTCACTTCATCAGTTACCTTACAGTAACTGGAGCAGACAGTAACTGTACAATGAAATTAATTAGATGATTGGGTGGGAAAAGATTGAACTTTGCTTGTTGTTTTCAGATTGATCTTTGGGCAGGTGAAGAGGCTTCACAAAACTACGATTGCTAATGATGTATGTAGCAGATATAATCAGTGAATGCACCCTCCTTCCAGGGACAGGGCTTGCCTTAGGGACAATCAAAACAGGTAACTTCAAGGTAGTCAGACAAACTTTACTGGAACAAACTCTCCCATCTCTACATTTTAGAGGTCAGCATAGTCTAATCCCCCAAAAGATTAAAGGCTGATCTCGTTTGTTGGCAAATACGGTAATGTGCTGCTGAGGCCAGGTCTATGCTACAGACTTCTGCTGGCACAGCGATATCTGTGAAGAGGTGTGGTTCCCTAATGAACACAGCTGTGTTGGCAGAAGCCCATAGTATAGATGCTGTAATATCAGCAAAACTGTACCTTACTATACTGGTACAAAGCGCAGCTGCTGGTATTGCTGCATCCGTACTAGGAACACTTTGCCGGTACAGTATATTGATATTCCCATACAAGTAAAGTGCTGCTAGGTAGATGTAGTCTGACTGCTGCCAAGCCACCCTAATCCTGTTTGTGAGATCTCTGATTGTTGTATTATTGCTCTCTCCAGGCTTCCATGCACAATGCAAATTAAATATTCCATAATTAATGGAACTCTATATGTCACCAGTGCTGCTATTCTTCACAAGAGAGATGGCTGCATTTTAATTCCTATCTGTTTATATTGTGCTTTGGGATGGAAGACGTTGTATAAATTCAAGTTATTACTGACCTTATAAAAATCCACTAGATATTAAATATTGAATCTTTTCGGTTTATACCAAACAGATATTGATTCTGTGAAGAGTGCAAATGAGAACTCAATTCATTGGGGATGAAATTCATCCTGAGCTGAGGGTCAGCACAAATCCTATGGACCACTTCATATTCATTAAAACCTATTTTCAGGAAAGCCTGGTCCAATGGACGGGGTAGATTTTACCCTCTCTGAATTTTTTCACTGAAAACAAAGAGTAATCGTTATCACTGTCAGTACTGCCAACTCCAAGTGTTCAAAAATCATGGCCTGAAGAAAACATAAGATTGTCCATCCATCCTTTGGATTCTTTTTATTTGCCTTTTGGTTTTTGAGTCTTTAGGGTGCACTTGGCTCATATTTTCAAGTTTTTCTCAACAACTATCAGGGATAGGAGTTTATTCTTTTTTAAATGAAGGCTGAGAGCCTCATATTTTCACAAGACTCCAGGAGTTGGGACTTGGAGGAAACACTAAATACCATAGGACTTGGAATAAAATCATGAAGCTAGCAACAATGAAATATCTAAATCAGCAATTCTCAAACTTCATTGCACCGCGATCCTCTTCTGACAACAAAAATTACTACATAATTGCAGCTATTTAAGAACATAAGAATGACCACACTGGGTCAGACCAAAGGTCCATCTAGTCCAGTATCCTGTCTTCTGACAGTGACCAATGCCAGGTGCCCCAGAGGGAATGAACAGAACAGGTAATCATCAAGTGATCCATCCCCTGTCACCCATTCCCAGCTTCTGGTAAACAGAGGATAGGGACACCATCACTGCCCATCCTGGCAAATAGCTATTGACTATACTAGGGCTAGATGGACCTCTGCTCTGATCCAGTATGGCTGCTCTTATGATCTTACATAGCTGCAATCATGAAATTTACAATTTTAAAATCCTAGGACTGTGAAATTGACCAAAATGGACCCTGAATTTGGTAGGGCCCTAATTATATTAATATCCATTTTAAGGCCCCTTTACACAGCCAGAGCAGTGGTTTAAAGGGGCACTAGTGTAAATGAGAATCAGACTAAGTCTGGTTAGCTACAGTTTCATGAAATATGAATATCCATTTTTCCTCACTTCTGTACAGACAATGGGGAACTTGCCTCTGTTTGTGATTTGTCTTCCTGTCCCTATGTTTTTAAGATAATGTTAAAATTCATGGTGTCTGATTAGATTACAATGAAATAGATCTTTTTCTAATTTACTCTCAGTGCTGTTATAATCTTGGCCTTCACAACATCCTCTGGCAAGGAATTCCACAGGTTGACTATGCGTTGTGTGAAGAAATACTTCTTTTTGTTTGTTTTAAACCTGCTGCCTATTAATTTCATTTGGTGACCCCTAGTTCTTGTGTTATGAGGAGTAAATAACACTTCCTTATTTACTTTCTCCACGCCAATCATGTTTTTATAGACCTCTATAATATCCTTCCTTAGTTGTTTCTTTTCCAAGCTGAAAAGTCCCAGTTTTATTAATCTCTCCTCAGATTGTAGCCATTCCATATCCCTAATAATTTTTGTTGCCCTTTTCTGAACCTTTTCCAATTCCAATATATCTTTTTTGCGTTGCAGCGACCACATCTGCACACAGTATTCAAAATGTGGGTATACCATGGATCTATATAGAGGCAACATGATATTTTCTGTCCTATTATCTATCCCTTTCTTAATGATTCACAACATTCTGTTAACTTTTTTGACTGCTGCTGCACATTGAGTGGATGTTTTTAGAGAACTATCCACAATGACTCCAAGATCTCTTTCTTGAGTGGTAACAGCTAATTTAGACCCCATCATTTTATATGTATAGTTGG